GTGCCTCACAGCAGGACTGCGTGGGGCAGGCTGGCTCTGGCTACCCTGAATGCCCAGGACCCCAGACCTGCCGGCAGGGACCACAAGGACACAGAAGGTCAAGACACAGACTTGTACAACAATGGACAGATAAGCAAGGGACAGAAATAGCGGGCAAGGACAAACTCAGAGCACCCAGCTCCACAAGCCTCCCCCCCCCCCCACTTGCCAGCAGCTTTCCCAGACTCCAGGCCCTGCCCTCCTGCAGGTAAACAGACAAATCCTGGGGAGATCAGCACAGTACAGAGTCAGGGCCAACAGGCCGTCAGACAGGGAAGACTTCCTAGATGAGGCAACACAGTGGAGAGCAGGAAAGTGAAGCTAGCAGTGTGCAGTGGGGTGTGGAGCCCTGCATGTGCGGGAAGCTAAGGCAGTCACAGCTGCGGCGGACCCACAGCCAGGGCCCCTGGAGTCCAGATTGCAGGTGAACCAGCCAGAGCAGAACAAGGTGTCCTCACAGTGTCATTGTGGGTCACCGGAGGCCGCTCTGGACTTGGGAAATGGCACTGAAGTCACGTGGGGAGACCCTAAACTTGGGGAGCTCGGGGTGGTGATAGCACAGGAGGAGGGCAAAGGTCTCAGTGGGAAGAGGAAGTGGAAGAAGCAGAGCAGGTGGGCACCCATAGCAGGCCTCCCTGGCAGGGGACAGCAGCAGGCACTACCAGGCAGCCACACACCAGAAGGGAGGCTGCCCCAGGAGGGAGGGCACCTGAGCACAGGCTGGGGTCCCTGGCACACTGCACCTGCACTCCACACCCCAGCCAGGTGCACACCCCAGCCTGCCCCGGCCCCTGATGCAGAGGGACAGGTCCTCAGGACCCACTACCTACAGTGGCCGTGTGTGTGTGTGTGTGTGTGTGAGTGTGTGTGTGTGCAAGCGCGTGTGTGGGTATGTGTGTGCTACTGGGGTTTGAACCAGGGCCTTCCCACCAGGCCACATCCCTGGCCCTTTATTTTTATTTTTATTATTTTGAGACAGAGTCTTGTTAAGTCATCAAGTTGCCCTCCAACCTGCGCTCCTCCTGTCAGCCTCCCAGACTATGGGGTAACAGGCACAAGCGAATCTGTGGTGGCCCCAGTGTCCCGGGGGGACTCAGTTTCTCCCAACTTTAGCTGAACCTGAGTTTGGTGGTCTGGGAGGAGCCTCCCTTACTGTTCTCAAGGGACAGGTGACAACTCACCACCAACTACTTCCTGGCCTCCCACCCCCCAACACATACTGCCCCAGCTTCAGAAGCAGACACTGTGGCTGGTGACAGGCACCTCCAGGAAGTTCCAACTCCTAGACAGCCCACAATGCCCCTCTAAACCAGTTGAGGCCGGTATTGCAGAGGCTCAAAAAAGGCCTTCTCCCAGGTCACCCCGTGCCGGGGGCCTGGGTTGGGCCTGGAGCCCTAGCTCAGATCTGCTCTACCACCCATACAGCATCAAATGCTGCTGGGAAGCACCCAACTTCCCTGGACTGAGGCATCCTCATCTGGGAAAAGGAGCCCAGGTGTCATGAAAATAAGTCACGCTAAGTGCTCAGAAGGCTGCTGGGCCCTGGGTGGATGCTGTCATATCCTGCCACCACCAAGATGTCATGTTCCAATGTTAAATGTCCCTCTGCCCCGAGTTCAAATCCCTGCTCTGCTACAGGCACTTCCTGCTCTGCTACAGGCACTTGGGCAAGCTGTCCATTGCTCTGTGCCTCAGTTTCTTCGCCTGGCGGAAGGTGTTAAAGTATTTACCATGTAGACTCTGGAAACACTTCAAGCAAAGCACTCAGCTTGCTATCTGGCATGTGGACTGAATGATTTCTATTATTATTATTATTTTGATAGGCTAATATTTCCTGTGTAACCATGGGGGACTTTAATCACAGGCTTAAGCATAATCACCACCCTGCTTATAACTCACTTGCCAAGCAATCCCAGCAATGGCCTTTGACAGGGAATGTTATTAGTGCTGAATGACAGCCTAAGTCCCCGCCCCGGCCTTCTGGATGGGCTACACACAGACACCAAAGCAAGAAGCAAAGCTTTCTCCAGTTAGGTAACCCTGGCTCTCTTCCTCCCTGCTGGCTGGAAGAGGAGTCAGAGGGCCCTGCCTATAACTTCTCCAGGTAACCGCTGCTCCAAAGAGGTGCTCTGGGCTGCCTTCCTGGGCTGGTGACTAAATAGTCAGCTCCAGGGAACCAGGCTCCTCCCATGCCAGCCAGCTGGTATGGACTCCAGAGGACTTGAACTTTCACCCCCTTAACAAGAGTGCTAAGGAAAAAGCAGATGTGAACCCACTGCAGTGCCACAAGGCCCCCAAACTGGCTCATGGGTACCCCAACTGAAGGCCTTCCTTCTGCTGCCCATGGGAGTGGCCACCTTGCCCCAGTGGCTTCTCAGGAGATGGCCACCTCTGGGCCAGGAAAGAGAAGCTGGGAGCACATCTGTATTCCACCTACTCCTCCCTCCACACGGGCCATGTCTCATCTCCCTCAATTCATTATTAATTTCCCTCAGAGCAGGGATGCTCTCTCTGCCACATACCCCTAGCTGTCAGCAGCTGCCACCCGGCAGCACTGTACACCAGGTTTTCAACAGAAATGGTGGCCCTGACTGCTAACAGGGCTGGGCAGCAGCCTCCAGCCCTGTCCTGCAAGGAAGGAGGCAGAAACTTGGAGAAGGGGTGATCCGGCCACCACAGTCAGACACTAGGGTCTCCTTCGCAGGCCAGCATGCTCCTGGCACTAAGAGGCACTCCCTACCAGAGCCACAGGAAGGAGCCCCATCCCGACACTCCCAGACAGCAAACACCAGCGACCAGAGATCAGAAGTCACATGAGGGAAACCTGTCCGGCTTCCCAACAAGGGGAGAGGGCTGACTCCCAGAAATGAGCCTCAGGCCACAGCCCTCCAGACCGGGCACCCTATTCCTGCCCAGAGCTCAGCAGATCGGGCTTCCAGGCAGACACGATACAATAGCGGAGTGTGGGGAGCTGTGACGGGCCCTCAAGGGTTCCCCCAGGGATAACATGACCACTAACACAGGTTACACCACAGAGACGTCAGGCCCTCGGGTCTCCCTGTGCGGACTCCATGCAGACCTAGGCACTAGTGTTTCTGCGGCATCTATGACATCTCTGATACTCTCTACAAAGAGCACTGGTCTCCTGCTGGCAAGAGTGTCTCACTGAATATAGTAACACTTTGTTTCCATTGTGGCTAAACCACTACTCTATTGTGCTGCAAAAATGGTGATTCAGGAAACCGGGTCTGACTTTCCTCCTGCTTTCTAGGTGGTGACGGCGAGCAAGTTTAAGGAGAGCAAGTGCCAGCACTGGTGACCAACCCATCCCCTGGAGCCCACTCAGGGTTGGCCTCTAGTGATAAGAGGGGTGCTGGGGCCACTTGGAGAAAGGCCACTCGGTCCTGCCTCGGGAAGAGGAACAGATAAACAGAGGGCCAGAGCCGTGTAGAAACAGACCTCAACTCTGAGATTTTCCCATGCTGTTTGCAGGAAATGGCTCTCTAGCAGTCGAGTAGACAGCCACACTCCCACGATCAGCTGGGACAGCTAAGACAACAGGGGAGGGGTGGTGGCCCACTGAGAGTCCCAGGCACCCGGCCTCCTGGTCACCAGGACTGAGCGTGCATCCTCTAGAGGTCCAGCTCTGATTGGACTATGGGGGCTCGGAAGCTCTTGGCCCATGGTCACAGAGAGCTGCAGAAAGTCAACCCCATAGCCAAGGCAGGAGAAAGCCACTGGGTGGGGGAGTGTCTCAGAGAGAAGGAAGGGTGCTGAGACCTGTAATGGAGTGTCCCAGCCAGTGACTGTGGTATGTGGCTTCATCTCCCAGCACAGGGCAAGTGCACTAAGGAAGACAGAACAACTTGCTGAACTGTGTGTCCCCAAATGGGCCCGGACCACAGACAGGGCAGCAGCAGAGAAGCGACAGGGGATTCCTCCGCAGAGCGCCGCAGAGCGCCGCAGAGCAGCCATGGTCTCCAGGAGGCCCAGGGCACCACTGGCCTCGCCAGCTTGTTCTGTCTGATCCCTGACCCAGGGTAGCCCTGGCACCCCATTTCACCCTCAGGCTCCTCCCTGTTTAGCCATCGAGGAAACTGAGGCACAGGAGGCTCACTGCCTTGCCCAAAGCCACAGCACAGGTGCTACCTCCACCCCAGCAGTGGTGACCACCTGCAAGCGCCCCCCGCTGGGCTGCACTGGTGTCCAAATTCAGGAGCCCAGGACTCGGAATCGTTTCCTGGCCACACAGGATGGAGGAAAGGGAACTCCCTCCCGCAAAGGGTCTCCCCCAAACTGAATCTTTCCCACCTCTGGAAATGTGGGGGTGGTGACAGCGTAGGTAGACAAGGGGAGGGGCCACACTGAGGCCTTGGGCCCCTGGGGAGGCCTGCTGCTCCTCCAGCCACCAGCCCTAGCCCCCTCCCTCCTCTGGCGGGGCAAGGGCCCTGCCCTGGACAGGTGAGGGTCTCAGGCCGGGGGCTGCCACCCTGCACCCCACCTTCTCGCTGGCATGCACACACAGGCCTCGGCTACCACATGTCCCCCGGAGGCCCCACCTGATGTTCAGACAAAGGAGGGGAGACAGAGCAGAAAAGGGGCAAAGGGAGGAGACAGCGTGCACAACTTTCGGCCGGGTAATCTCTGGGGTCACATGGATCCGGGGCGCCCTACTGCTCTCCTGTCCCCCAGGAGTGGGTCAGCAGGGCGACATCTGCAGCGCCTGTCCCCCTCCAGCGGCCCAGCCTCGGTGATCCTCACCCGGTCTAGGCCCCAGACCCCCAGGACGCCCTCCGCTCGCCCAGCAGGACTCGACCCGCGACATCGCGCCCGTGCCCGTGACGCGCCCAGCCGCGCGGGACCCGGGGGCGTGTGTGCGGGGCCCGGGTCCGGCGCAGACACAGCCGATAACGGAGAGTGGCGTAGGTCCCCAGGTCGCCGAGGTCCCGCGCGGCGCTTACCCTGCGCGGAGATCGGGGCCACCTCGCATCCGCCTGAAGCCCGAGGAGGCGGCCCCGTCCCGGCCACGAGAGGGCACGGAGTCTGCGCCCCGCCCGCTGCGCACGCGTCGCCCCGCCCCGCCCCGCGGGGACGCGCCCGCCACTGGGCGCGCGCGCGCGCGGCGGTCACGCGGCGCCGCCTTTGTTTTGGTGGAGCACTTGGGTCCCGTTTCGCACCCGCGCGCACGCGCGGACGCACGCCAGCCGGGGCCTCTCTGTGTGTACAGGCCTGGGACCTCACTGCCCGACTCACCTGTCCCCGACCTGTCTCTGATCGCCACTGCCCGGCCCAGGACCCAGTGCCACCTGTGACTGGACGTGGAGCCTCCCAAGTGCGGAAGCTGACGCTGATCCGCCAGTCACCCAGCTGGGAAGGGCCCCAGGGTGCCCGGCTCGCCCAGTCCCCAGGATCTGGGCCCCTGCTCCTCCCCATATTTCTCTCAGTTTCTCCTGAGTCGACCAAGGGACTCACTGCCACTGTCCCACGCCCTAGTCACCGCACATGGGCAAAGACAGAAACCGCCTGCCCCTAGGATCTGGGCTGCTAAGGAGAAACCCACCCCTTCCTCAGCGTCAGAGGCAGGCTGCCTGTCTTGCAGGAGGGTGCTGAGTGGCCCGGGAGAGGGGACCGATTCAGACCCTAGGTCCTTACTCCGACAGCCCCTATCTGGGTCTGACCCGGGGAGAGGAGGGTGGCTGTGGAGTAGGGGACAGGGGACTGAAGGCAGACTGAGCCTAATCCTCCTCTGCTCCCCCCGCCCACGGCTGGGTTTCCTGCTCGGCCCTCCTTCCTGTGTGGAGTGTGTATGTGCGCGCGCGCGCATGCGCAGGTGTGTGTCCCGCCCACCTTCAGTCCTCTGCCCCCAACCTGTCACAGGGCTGGGTCTGAGGGTCCCCGAGGCTGAAATGAGGAACCTATCCCACCTCTGTAGAATGAGTTTGTAGGTTCTCCAACTCTGGCCTCGGAAAAAGAATTTTTAGGATGTGTCAGTAAGAAACTCGGGAAGGGTTTATTAGATTTTAGGACGCACTGGAGAGCATGGACGCTGAGAAGTGAGGCGCATTGTGAGCTGGAGCTGGGTACATTTTTGTTTTTGTTTGTTTGTTTTGGTTCGGGGGATCAAATTCAGGACCTTGGGCTTTCGAGGCAGGCACGGTGCCACGGAGCTAAATCACTGGCCCTGAAGCTGGGTACATTTAAGAGCTGATCCACAGTGTGTGATCCACAGGTTAGAGTGCGGGCCGTCTTCCAGAGGTGAAGTCGGAGTGTGCGGCCCACCAATATTACCACTTTTCGGGGTGTGCAGAGAGCACAGTTTACAGGTGAAAAGGACAAGCCCAGAGCCTGGATTTGCTGGTTTAATGTCGTTAAGACCTTCAGGACTTTTTTTTTTTTTTTAAGGGAGTGTCCTGGAAAGAAAAAGGCTTGAGTAACTTTTGTGCCTTGAAGCTGTAGTTAAGTCCAATTTTTAAATCTCGATTGGTCTCTTTTTACCTGGTTTTTAATTTCTTCTCTCCTACGTCAAACCCACAGACCCTAGGCATTGTGCAGTCACCTCCAGCACCCTGAATTCAGAACAACCCCACCTCTCTCTGACCCAAGCACCCCGAACCTCCCTGGGGCAACAGCCGAGAGCTGTCCTCCTCCAGAAACTCCTGCCTTCCAGAAAGCCCGGTGGACGTGGCTGGGAGCTAGAATTCAGGGGTGCTGGCACCTCTGGAGGCTCCATTTCTGACCTCCAGCAAGAGCAACACAAGGTCTCAGGCAGAAGGGGCGCGGTGCCATGGGTGTTGCCAGCGCAGGGCTGGGCTGTGGCTCAGCACCCACGTGGGGTGAACAGTGAACTGCCCGCAGGGCCGTGTCTGTCTGGAGTGGAGCAGAGTGAGCGCTCTTCGCACCAGAACTGTCACAGTTGTGCCCTGTGCCCTACCTAGGCCCAGGGCCTCACTGCCAACCTCCCAGGCCCTGGTTCCTGCCTCTTCTCTTGGTTCCCCAGGGAAACAGGAAATGAAACTCTCCTTTCCTGCCATATCCTCCCAGGGTACCTTCCCCAAACTGCCACCCACAGAACCGGGGCTCTCTGGGGGCCTCCATGTGGCATTGCCACTGCACCCCTGACTAGGGCCACAACTTGGCTCATTTTCCTTGCTGTTAATCGGGCTCTGGTCTTTGCTCCTAGCTGTCCCTGTCAATGCAGCTGGCAGCTCCTTCGAGGAAGGGTCCCTCCCTCAAGGGCGTGTCCTCCCTACCAAGGCTTAGGTGGCCCCATAGTCCACATGTTGCAAACTTAATCCCCGACTCAACAGTGTCCAGGGCTGGGGTCTGCAGGGTGCAGAGGACCGTAATATTGATTACGCCCAAAGCAGGCTGTGCAGAGTTAACCCCCCAGTTGGGTTGCTTATAGAAGTGAGTCTGCCCTAAGCCTACATGGGGAGGTCAGAGTAACTCGCACCCAAATTCCATTCCCACGACTGAAACCTCCAGACTAGAAGGACAGTGTTCTAATTACAATCGTGTATTTTGTCTATTCTATTCCTAATTCGAGAATGCTTTGTCTTGTCCTTTATGTGCCTTGTTTACATTAATTTCCATAGAAACCACACATTGCCTTGATCCCAGTTGATTCCCAATAAAAGTCAGTGCCTGGGACTGGCCAGCGCCTTTATCTGTTCCACTGGCATTGGTCGTCCTGGCTCCCCACTTTCTTTCTCCTAGTTCTGCCTCTTAGTGTATTTTTTTCTCAGACCTGTGTCCCACACTGGGCGACTGGGTGGGTACTGGAACCTGACTACAGGGGTCTTCGGCAGCAGGGCCCTGCCATTGCTGTGTTCCTGACAGAAGGTGAGCCCCGCCTCTCCCTGGCTCTTTCCCGAATTCCCTGCCCTCTCGCCTTGGCCATCGCCAGACACAGGCCCTGGGCCTTAGGCTCTCCCTGTCCAGGCACACAGTAGGTACCCCAAGAATCACGGCTTTCAGAAAGGAGCCAGGGCAAACGCCGCTTTGTGGGAAGGAGCTGGGGCTGACAGTCCCCGGAGGACAGGCACACTCTGCCTTTGCCGGGAGGGGTGTCCTTGGCCTCAGGGGCTTCTGATCGGACAGAGAGGCACCCTGTGGTCACAGTGCTGATAGCCAAGGGAGCCTTAGAGGGGCCTGATGGGGCCAAAGGTGATGCTGGAAAAGCAGGCAGGGCTTCCTGGAGGAGGCGACTGCTGTCCGTCCCCCCCCCCCCCCGGTAGCCATACACAGATGGAGAGGACCCAGGACAAGCTAGACCGGCCAGGCCTGGCTCCTCAGGGACCACAGTAGGAGGAGAAAGCCTGGGTCCAGGAAGCTTCCCGAAGGTATAGCCTGGAAGCCTGAGGTCCCTGGATGAGGGAGAGGTCTGAGCAGCCTTCCCACAACCATGGGACAGGGGTGCAGGGCCAGAGCCGGTGAGGCGCTCAGACATGGCAGGGGACAGCCAGAGGCTCACCTGGCCCAGATGCCCGCCCGGCCCCAACTGGGTGGCCACAGCTCCCCCAGGTTCCAGCACATGGGCTTGGGAACCCAACTTGGGGAAGACAGGAAGGTGGGAGAACAGAGGAGGAGTCAGGGGAGCCAGGCGTGGTGGGGCACGCATGTAATCCCAGCACTGAGGAGGCTGAGGCAGGAGGATCACTGCGAGTTTGAGGCCAGCCTGGGCTACAAAGTGACTTCAAGGCCAGTCTGGACTGCATGGTGAGACCCCTGAAAAACCCAAAAACAAACCAAGAAGGAGCCTGGGGCTGGGGTGCTGGACACAGCCAGAGGAGGTGGTGGGCACGGTGGCGGGTGGAGAAACCAAGGCCCGGGACGGAACAGGCTTGGACCAGCATCACTCTGCTAGCTCAAGGCCAGATCAGGACTGCCCTAGATGTCCACAGAAGCCACCGCCTGACACTTTGCCAGCCAGGAGAGACAGGGACAATGACAAAGTGGAACAGCCATGTGGCAAAAAGATAGCCCTGGGGCCTTGAAGAGTGCTGAGAAGCAAGCGCCACACTTAGCCTAGATGAGCAGTGGTCCTGTGTATTGGAGAGTGGCCTGGATGGCAGGCCTCACAGCAGCCTCCAGAGGAACAGGGGGTGCAGGAAGAGGGTAAGGGACAGATCCGGCAGAGAAGGTGACCTCTGCCTCCTGGGCCCCATCTGTACTCGGCCTGGCCACCCCCAGACCCGCAGCCTCCTTCCTTCCTGGGGACACTGCGCCTGCCATCCTGCCTGCCTAGCCTGCTGTCCCCAGTGTCTGATGGCTGCATTTCAGGCCTGCTCAAGGGCCACCTTCACTCTGAGGGCCACCTGTACCCACCCTGGTCCTTGTCACCTGCCTTCTGCTTCTTCCTGACAGTGTTCTGGGACACTTCGGGGAGACAGCATCTTGGGCCCCCCATCCTGTTCCCGGATACCTGTGGCTACATGACCTCACCAGGCAGGAGGTGCCTTGTCATGGAGAGATGATCCTGGGCTATCCACAGGTCCTGATGTCATCACAGGAGGGAGGCAGGGAACAGAGCTGTGAGGACAGAGAGTGGACAAGGACTGGGCTTCCCCAGAGCCCCACTAGGAGCCGCTCCTGCTGGCCTTCCCTGCAGTCCACACAGTCACCCGGCACAGCACAGCAGGGCCCTGGCTGCTCCCACAGGCCTCCCTCCTGTGGCCCCAGCCCAGCCCGTGTGAGGGGGTCGGGCACTGCCTCCACCCCAGGCCTGGCGCACCCTCAGCTCCACACCCTCCTCTGACAGCCCCTGCCTTCTTTTTGTGACTCTGCCTGACCCCCTGGACAAACCAGGATGATCAGACCACGTCTGTCTCCTGCCAATTCCTGCCCTGCCTGCCGGCCAAGGCCACGTCTGACTCCAGAGCCCGGACTCAGCAGGCTCCTCTGGCCATGTCACACCGGACTCAAAGAGATGTGGCCTTTTCAGGCACACCCATGCCAGGGACCCCTCCTCCAGGAGGCCTTCCAGGCTCCCTTTCTTCTGAGCCCCTCCTGGGCCTCTCTGTCCCTCATGGGCTGTCACA